GGCGATCAGAGACTTTCCTCACTGGCGTGAACTTCTACACATGACCCCATCCTCAGAATCAGTGTTACAAAATCAAAACCAAAGAAACTCTACGCATAGAGAAATGTTAAATTTTTAATCAAAAAGAACAATTTATTGAAGGAAAGTATAAAAAACACACATACACACACCTACATATAGTATATAGAAATATAGAAAGTTGCGCCATGTTCGTGTGCTAGCAAGCTACTTAGAAAAGGGTTAAGAAAGAGTGATAGTTGTAAAGAAGACGGAGATTTGCAGTTTGTTTACTCTTTAAAGCTTTAAATAGCTGAGGCCAAGGTCAAACAAAGTCGAAAATCACCATTTTTTGTTTTGAACAATTGCACAGCTATGAAGTAGTTAAATAGAAAATTGAATACCGTTAAAATATGAATCAAAATTTTTCCAAATATCACCGTTGTAGTTATCAAAAATATACTGAAACGTTCGAAATGCACCGAATAAAAGAAAAATTTATTACGTAAAATTTTTTATTGATGAATCACATATTCTACTTTCAGTGGTAAGGGTCAATTAGGTCATGCAACAAAAATTTAATTTATTTTTTAATTAGTAAAAATAAGATACTAAATAATAAACCATTGTTAGAAATGCAGGGAACATCATTTATAGAACGTAGGAATTGTCTGAGCGAATTTTCCAAATGCTTATTGTAGTTTGTAGTTGCAACAAATGATTGCATAATATAATAACAGTACATAAATAAAAAAACAAAAACACAAAATTTCATAAATAAGTATTTACATTGCCAATTGTCTGATTTTAAACTAGTGATATGCTCTGCATGTAGTTGTTAGCATTTGAAATGGGTTTGCTTGTTAGAAAAAATTCAAACTATCTCTTTGTAATTTTCATTCACGCATATAAAAGCATTCAAGCCGTTTCAAGGCTTAAGCAGAAATTAATGAAAAACCGTTAAATTTATTTTTGCTAAATTAAATTACAATTTATTCTAAATAATATTAAAATGTATTCTAAATTTTATGAAAATTTATTCTACATTATATTGGTAGTCCGAAAAAGTACTCTCGTATTTTGCCAATAGATGTCAATATTAAAATTTGTTTCATTGAATTCGTATAATTTTTTTTTATTCTTTTAATTCATAAATAGTTGAAATTTGTTTTATTTGCTAACATAATGTAATCTTCAATTAACTCCGCAAGCTTCGCACAGCGAAATATTCGCATAAGCACCGACTCATCAATTCGTCCACTCAATTACTTTAAAGGAAAACATGTAAACGAAGAATATGATATATTGACTGCACACACACCAAATACCAAAAGATTGGCTTTATCTCATAATTTTGTAGTAATATTTTTAGCTTTTACTCTATACTTTCGTTGTGTGCGAAATCTTATTTAAAACTTTAAGAAACTGTGTTTAAAGTAAATCTTAAATGTAAGAGGAAACAATTTAATAAAGCACTGCGAATTATTAAAGGTGGTTTTATTTATGAGTCAGGTGTCGAACTGCAACAAAGCCTCGATAATCCAAAGAGTTTTGCTAATATATAACGTGGATGGAGGCATGAGTAAAAGCTCCAGCAAATGAAGAAAGTTCTCTGAGCGCCATTGACTTTTGAGTGGCCAGAAACGATTATTTTACATATGGTTCCAGCAGCTCACAATTTCCGGCCTTAGATCAAGTATCCTCTGGGTAGCCAAAAAACATCCGTTTGAAGGCGAGCTAAAGTAAGAAGGAGAAATACACTTTCCCAGAGATGGGCGCTGGATTTGGGGCCCGCCACTTAAAAAACCCCCAAAAAAGGAAGAAAACAGCCTCGTATGCGAGATTTTTGAAGACGACCATTGCCAACGCATTAAGGATTAGGATTTGAGAGCATGCATCTGGAATGTGCGCTGCCTTAATTGGGAAAGTTCCGCTGCTAGCTGGTTGATGTCCTCGTCACTGTAAAGACTGAAACCACCGCTGCCCATGAAATGCGACGAACGGGACAAAGACTGCGACGAGTGGGTTCTTGTGGTATTTACTATAGTGGCCATATGAAGTAGCGCAAATTCGATGTGGGATTTATGGAGGGAAAGAGACTTTGTCACTGAGTCCTGGCATTCATCTCATTATCCACACTCCGCATCAAAGCGAAGTTCTTTAACATAAAACTGATTTGCGTCCCCGCCTCGACGGAAGTGAAGGACGATGCGACCAAAGATATCTTTAAAAAGCTTGGTGCTTGGCCACCAACCATGGTGAGCAAAGAAGGTATTTTTGGAACAACGATCGGTAAATTCCGCTTGGACGGAGTCCGAAATAATATCCCTAGTACTAGATTCGAACATAGGAAACTTCATCAACCTTTCTACGGATCGAAAAGCCACCAACCAAATGAGTTATGTTGTGATGGATGGAAGACACGTCCACAGCGACGAAAGAACAGCTGGAAAGAAAGCAGACTGCCTACCTCGAAACTTTACAATCGACGACAACACGTGCTGTGTGGGATAGATGCCGAGAGCTGAAGACGGAAGCAAGACGCATTTGCAAACAAAAAAAAAGAGTGGCTGAAATGCTTGTGTATGAAGAGCTTGACAAGCTGGCCGACAGGGATAATGCTCGAAAATTCTACGAAAAGATGCGACGACTAGCAGAAGGTTTCAAGACCGGAGTATAGAACCCCCCCGAGGTGATCTAGTCACTGATGCCCAGAGCATACTTAAATTATGGAGGGAACACTTCTCCAGCCTACCGAATGGCAGTGAAGGCATAACATCAAGTGATGGCGAACCAGATTCCCCAATCGATGACGATGGAGCAGACGTCCCATTGCCCGACCATGAAGAAGTTCGAATGAAATAACCCCAATTACAAAGCGGCTAGGTCCGATTGATTGCCGGCCGTGCTATTCAAACACGGCGGCGAAGAACTGATAAGGAGTATGAGTCAACGTCTTTGTAGAATATTGTCGGACGATTGGAATTTAAGTGTTCTCTGCCCAATCCGCAAAAATAATCTACGTTAATCACCGTGGGATAAGCCTCCTCAACGTCGCATAAAAGGTTCTATCGAGTGTACTGTGCCGTCGTAGATAAATTTATCCTCGAAATCCAACGTAGAATAACTCGTGCCAACAGGTGCTACTTCGGACTGCGGCTACGTTGGCTAGATAATGTCGTCCGGATGGATAAAAATACTCCAGCTCTGAAAGTATTAGACGCAGTACTCGCCATGGAAAGCAGAGGAAGACGTAGACCTCCACTCCGTTGCAAAAGCCAGGTGGAGAAGGACCTACACTTGGAATCTCCAATTGACTGGCGCACCGTTGTAAGCTCGGCTACAATTGCGTAATCAGTGTCTACGCCAATAAAAAAGAAGAAGAAGAGGGAAACGTTGATTAACCTATCTATAATATATGTATATATACTGTAATATAAATTATCAACTAGTCCGTTTGTTTTAAAGATATCGATCTGAAATTTTGCGCACATCTTTTTTGCAAAGAAACTGATCATTTGTTGGGACCATTGATATTGGACCACATAGTATACAGCTACCATACAAACTGATCGATCAACTGAAGTCCTTGTATGGAAAGTTCTTTTTTTTTTTTTTTGTTCAGCTGTCTTCAGAAAGTTAGTACCGATTCTTATCCAAGGTATCTCTACGTTATTAAAACAATTCGTTCAGATCGTTCTTATACAAACTGGCCGTAAAAAATCAAGATAAAGCTATATACATATAATCCTCTATATATAGTTATCTTTTTGTCTCGATTATATCGAAAATACTGTTATTTTTGCATTTTTTTTTTTTTTTTTGCATTATATTTTATGTGTCTCTAAAAATACGAAGTCAAAAAAAAATCGATATCCGGAAATCAACATTGAAATACTTGCGGTTATCTGTAACCTTATAGTTTTGTAATTGATTCTCACTCTTCGTGAACACCACTCTCCGTAGGCTCAAAGCAAATCTAAAATGAAAACAAAGGTATACTTATTGTGAATTTGCGAAAATGCTTGTCAAAACAAAATTAATAGGTACGGATTGTGACTGACAAGAACATTGATTAATTTTTATAGCCTGAAATTTTTCGCCATAAATATTTGCTTATAAAAAACATACCGTTGAAAATTATCTAACCCTTTAATACTCATATAGGAATTTAGAGATGTCACTAGCGCGTGTGCCCCAATTACGAATTGTGCAGCGAGACCTTAAATGCCGTCAAGGCTGTGGATTTTATGGGAATGCCCAATTTGATGGACTCTGCTCCAAATGTTTTCGTGAACGAAACGACAAAAGAAAGAAAGGTTAGCAGCAGCTTTATGAGTTCTAAAAATAAATGTATTATTTTATAATTTGCGATGATTTTTGCCATACAGCAGAGCAGAATGCACTTCCTCCTGTGGCAAATTCGCCGAATACCAGTGGCACGAGCACAGCTGGGCGATTGTCCCCACAAAACCTCTTGGGGCGTGTACCAAACAAGAGGCAGGACAGTATGCCGGAAATATCGACAGGA